AAGGAGAGAACCGGGATACAGTAATGTGCAAAAGTCTTGAGTCACTTCTCATTCAGTTATTTTGCTAGGAAAATGTGAAATGGGTGTGATGAATTATTGAGAAATCAAAGCATGCATGAAAATGCAGAATATAAGGCAAAAACAGTTTGTACAACTCTAACAAGCTTAAGTCTGCGTTCTCGTAACTCCTTTGTCTTCAAGAATAGATCTCCAGGCTTCTTGAAGGAAATGTTTGCTGCTTTTTGCCTCCGTTAAGATGATCCCACACTGCCTCAGTAATGTTGAAGTCCTGGGGAGATCAGTCCATGACTGATCACGCCCCATTGTCTTTTTTTTTTCCCATTATCCAGTTATGCTTTTACTGCATTGGCCATGTGTCTGGGCTTTTGACCTGTTGAAAAATGATGCCGTTGCCAGTCAGGTTTCTGGATAGTATTGCATGGTGGATCAAAATCTGATGGTATTATGGCAGTTTTGGCAAGATCAAAAACGCCACTGGCTGAAATGCAGCCCTAAACCATGACAGAACCTCCACCATGTTTTACAGATAGCTGTAGACACCAACTCTTGTACCTCTTTCTTGACCTCCTCTGGACATCATTTGAACCAAAAATTTCACATTTAGATTTATCAGTTCATAAGACCTGAGCCTCTGATTTTCAACCTAGTTCTTGTTTAATTTGCATACCTCAGCCTTTTATCCTGGTTTCCCTTCCTTAACAATGGCAAACAGTCTTCTACAGAGACGATTTCTGATGAAACCGAAGAGCCCAAAGCATCACACATGCAGGGTGGGTCTTTGGAAGCAAAAGATAAAGTATTGATGGGTGACTCAAGATGTTTGCACATTACTGTAGATTCAAATATTAAAGTGTCAAATTTAAAATGGGAAGAAAAAGATTTACAAAAAACAAAAAATCAAAAACAGATGCACTCCAATATTGAACTGGTATGTTTGTTATGAAAAATTCAGACTACAACTAAATTTGCAAGAAAACACACCCTTTCTCTGGCTCCATAATTAAACTTAAAATGGCCCAAATATGCCATAGTAGTCAATAGATCATGCTACATGCTGTCATTGTCTGCTTGTTTTTTAATACATCTGGATTACAGTATACACTGATATTAGGTGTAGCTCACTTTTTTAAATTTAAATACAGTATACATGTCTGGCAATCAGTTCTATATTCATTAAGACTGTAATGTCAAAGTGACTCTCTCAGTTGCTGAAATAAGGTGTTTCTAATATTCTGTCAGGTAAGTAACGGTCTCGAATCATTTTCTAAACAAAACATAGGAAAAGCTTTCAGTATCAACATAGTCAAATTCCTATTTTTGCATATACAAAAATACACCGCTTCCTATTAAAGTGTTTCCATTACAAGGGTAATTCAGATTCCTGAATTAGTAGGTATGATGTTGTGTAGAAACATGTGCAACACTAATGACACCACAAAACCTCCATCTAACAAATCACTATAATATCAATCAACAAAAACTCAACAATTTTAATTCTATATTAATCCAAGTGTACCCCAACAAACACTTAAATTATTGTCTCTGCAACATGTGTCCAAACACCACTGTTATTTTTTCCACTGCATCTTTAGTGGGGTTTATTCATATTTTCATGTGCGCTTCTATTGACTGTCTTTGTTTAATTGGGAGACTGGCAGTTGAGTGTGAGTCACGTGTTTCTAGGTTCAGTCAAACCAACAATATTCAGTTGGTCATTGACCACATACAGTGATACAGGCTGCAGTCTAAACATGAGAGAAATCGGATGTGCACACCGACTGGTTTCTGTACTTAAGCCTTTTTTTGTCCTGCAAACCCAGAACTGGGTAAAGGATGCCGTTTCATAATGACATATGACAGGGAAACTAGGCTGTGGCAGCATTTACTGAAGGAGGGAGGGGAATCTGATTACTGACCACCTGTCAACTAGGATTTATCATATATATGTGTGAGTTTGGTTTTTTTGTTGTTTTTTTTGCTTTAACCTGATTTCTCATAGTAATCGGGTTTCTCATATGCATGGACACAAAGATCTGAACACAAATTGATTGTCTTTGGAGTGGTGACGTTTTTAGTGTTGATTCTTGTCTGGATTCATTCCCTGAGTTTATTTATTTATTTATTTTTGGTCTGTAAAATGTACACAGTTTAATATCTTCAAACAACAATGTGTGAAACCCTTGTTGCAGTGGAAAATGCGTTATCATGGTGATTTTTAATCACTGGCATCATGTTATCTCGATGTTCCTGCTGTAACCTGCTGCCTGCTTTGGTTTCAGATCAAAATGGACCCTGAGATGGACTCTCAGCTTAAGATTGGCTTTATCGGTGCAGGGAACATGGCGTTTGGCATCGCCAAAGGCATCTTATCTGGTGAGTGTAGAGAGAACTGAAGAAGTGAGGAGGACTTGAATGAAGGACACATTAGTATTTAATAAATGTTCTCTTTGTAGGAAATGTCCTTCCTGCAAACGTCAAAGTTAGTGCACCATCCTCAAGGAATCTGGGACGCTTTCAGGTATTGTTTATTGTTCTATCATTTAAGTTCTCAGCGTGAATCATTTTGCATTGAAGTAAGCAGTTATGGTGAAGATCAGTTTACAGTTCAGTCTAAAACTGTAGTGAAGCAGCCAGTTATTTTTAAGCAGTGTAGTTATTTGTAACATTTTTACCTTTTCGTAGACATGGTCCCTATTCTGGGAATCAGGTTTACTAACAACTGAATTTTTTCAACTCTGAGATGAGGAAAATTCTGGCTTTTCTGTTCCAAAAAGACGGTTAACTTAAACTTTGAGTCAGTCAATCGGTAAACTCTGTGAACTTAACCTGCTCTGAGTTTCTTTCTCTTCCCTCTTGCTGCACCTAAAACAACTGACTGACATCCACGTTCATTTCTTCATTCATAAAGTCATGAACAGAGCACATACTGGAGTAAATGAAATTGCAAAAGTTTGTTTTAAAAATGCTAAAATCCCAGTTAGATGATGTGGGTTTTTTGTAATTAACATGAGCACTTTTACGATCATTCATTCGTCTATGTTTAGGGATGGAAATGGCGATTACATCATTGATCTATGACCTGGTCAGAATATAAAATCTGTACTCCCCATCTTTCTAATGCTAATACTTTGTATAATAATGCAGGTGTCAGGCTGTCAGTTAGGTTCCTGTACTGCTAACATTTACTTCCCTTTATTGTAGCAATCTGTTTCAATCAAACGTTTATAAAACTGATCAATCATTTGTCCTCATTAAAAAAAAAATGTCTGCCACAGCTGGGATGTTGGAGATGATGTGACTATGAGCCTGACATGACTTTAAGGCGAAACTGCAGACAGTCTGTTTTCTAAACAGTTTATGTTAAAATGTGGTCACAGGTTGAAGTTCTGTCATTAAATGATGCCACCATGTTTTGAAAAGTACAATGTCTGAAATTCAGAATCTGAACGCGATGTATTTTCTACTGAAAATCACCTTAAATGGTCTCAATGGGTCAGCCTGAACCAGATCCGCATAAAGGTTTCTCGCCAAAGGTTATATTAAGGATCATTAAAGCATGTCCTGATCAGAGTCCATTTATCGGTCTCAGTGTTAATGAAGTCACAGATCATTTTTTAAGTCAGTTCCTAGAATAGGGCCATCGTCTTTCAGCTTGCATCAATAGATCAGTGCATCAAAGTTTAGTTTAGATTTTAAAAAACAAGGAAGCGTTGGATTTCTCAAGCCTGGTGTGAAACCACTGGGTTTTATAAAGGGGTATTACAATTTTTCACAAGCCCCAAATGTTTGGTTTTGTTTCTTTTCAGTTGTCACTAAAGCTGACATGGGAGATCTTCTGGTGACTGATGAGTGTTTTACACTTTTCTCACCCGAGGATGAAAAATAATTTTCTAAAACTTTCTTTTTGCAACTTTGTTTTTTTGGTTGAGCGGTACAAAGTTGCTCAATAGATTATTGGATTATATTCAATAGATTTTTTTTTTTTTTTTTGTATTGACCCAGTAAATGATTAATTGACCATTTAAAGTTTACTCCTCTCCTCTAAACTCTTAAACAGTACTTTGCATGGCATTAAACACTGGCTTGCTAATATCACTGAAACAACACTGAGTCTATTATCATGGCAGAGTTTTAGAAAGCAACATGAATTGTAATCATGTCATAAGCAAATAATTGTAATACTGGAGGACATCTTCCAAGTCCTAGAAATGTAAATGCTTCTGCAAAAATTAACAATATAAAGGAATTGTGTGCCATCAGCATGATTTGCTCTTGTGTCAGAGCTAGTGCTTCGGCTAAGTAATATTACACCGGCTTGCTTTTAGGAGCTGGGCATTGCTGTAACTCACTCCAACATAGAGGTGGTTTGTGGGTCCGATGTGGTCTTTGTCGCAGTCAAACCTCACCTGGTTCCGCTAGTTCTCAAGGAGGTCACACAACACGTCACTGACAGACACATGATTGTATCTGTTGCAGCAGGAGTAACACTAGCAACGTTAGAGGAGGTGAGTGCCACATAGTTTCTGGTGTCTTTTAAGGGACAGATTACCACTGAATCAGATTTGTGTTCTTCTTTTGGCCTGTAGTGTGTTTATGTCTGTACTGTCATGGTGTGAATGAGTTTTTGAGATGGCTGTAGAGATGTCTCTTCTCTTGTGTATAAGTTGCTCAAAGCTCCCCAAATTTGTATATTTTAAATAACTCTGTAGCAGTGTCTCTTTATAGAAATCACGAACCATTATTTCAAATACCAAAGATCTCTCTGAGCAGTTTCATGTTCAGGTTTTTCAAGTATTTTTTGTATACCACCTCCATCTACCAATAGAAGAGTGCAGCTAGCTAACATCAGAGTAGAGGGGAGTCGCCTGTCTTCATGGGCAGAGGCACAAATAAAGGTTCCAAATAAAGGTATAGTTATATGGAAAGAAAATAGTTCCTACCTGAAACTAATACTAAACACAAATTTTATATACAGTGCTTACATTTATCAGATCATCACCCAGTTACATCTTTATGCCACAGCTGAGCTGCCCTAAATTAGCAGTGTATGTAATTACAACATCATTTGGTTCTCTAATGGTTAATCCACCAGTGTGCACAAACTTATTAATAAAGGGGATATTTTTAATGCTAAAATATGATTCTTGTTCTTATGTTTTATGAAAAAGCATGAAAAGAGCACATTTTTCTTTATTAATATGCCAAATTATAATTGTTTACTTGCATTCCTGACCACTATTTTAGTGGAAAAATGTTACATTTTATTAATTGCTGACTTCTCAGAAGTTCAGCATGCTGACTCAAATTTGGGTAAAATAATATGAATTCAGTAAATCTTTGCAATAATATTCACAGGTTACTAATTTTTTTGTTGTTGTTGTTTTTATTCTTTTTATTTAATTGTACTTGTGTGCATGCACACTTCATTTTAGGGTGAGCTGTAACTTTCAATACTGATCTATCTATATTTGTCCTCTCTTTTAACTTCAAGCTCCTTCCTGAGAACTCTGTTGCCATCCGGCTGATGCCAAATCTACCGTGTTTAGTTCAGGAAGGTGCTCTCCTGTTTGCTCGAGGATCACACGCAAAGCAGGAGGACAGCGCACTACTTCGCTCCCTGTTGCATCGCTGTGGTTTGGTGGAGGAGGGACCTGAAGCCTGGATTGACATCCATACTGGGCTGAGTGGGAGCGGAGTAGCCTTTGTGAGTGTCCTAGATTTTATTTCTTTTGGTTGGTTTATTTGTTTTATCTGAAGTCTTTTGTTGCTTTTCCATTAGTACCTACTCGGATCGACTGGTTTTCCATTGCAGCAGAGTACAACCCAATGTGTGTGGTTGTTGTTATAGCAATGTGTCCGAGCATGACATGACGGAATTAGTATGCAGCGCGAACACTACAAAAAAGGTGGATGTTCAGGCAAGAATATACCTGCTGCTTGCTCTGTGGCTTTTCGTCAGACTTGGGGAACATGGCATTGCTTTTGGTAGCCATTTAACCCGTTGATGGGTTTCAAAAATGGCGGTTTTGATTTTCATGAACGAGATGCTCTCATAACACATCAAATGACACTCCTAACTGGCCAATCACTGGCATGCAGTCTGGTGACATCTTGGTGGCTGCTAGGATCGCTTGGAACCCTGGTACCAGGTACCAGGACCTAATTGAAAACCGTGGCGAAAATAGGTACTAATGGAAAAGCGGCTTTTGTAACTTCTTGTTTACAATTGTAATATGAATTTCTCAGACCATACACATTGGGGCAGGGATAGCTCAGTAGGTAGAGTGGTGGCCCCATGATCGGAAGGTCGGGGGTTCGACTCCACTTAACGGTTACCCTGAGGTACCCCTGAGCAAGGTACCGTCCCTACACACTGCTCCCCGGGCGCTGCATTGGTGGCTGCCCACTGCTTCACTGGGTGAATGGGTTAAATGCAGAGGAGCAATTTCCCTATGGGGACTAACATATACACATTATACATTGCTTTGAAGATGACGGTTGCTTATGTATTCCAGGTTCCAGTTGCCTAGGTATCCTTCTAATCTATTTACAACCAGGTCATGTGTCAATCAGTGGTATTCTTCACTGTCACTGGTAGTACCTGCCTGGAAGTTGAGCTTCCTGTGAACACAGATGAGCTCAGAGGTTTACATGAGCTCAACATGATCATGAATGTCATGTCAATTTTGGGCTTTTTATGATTTCTTTTAACTGTTCTTTTTCCAGAGTCTTTAATGACTTAAAAGAAAAAAAAAAAACTTGCACAAATTTCAATTAATTTTGGTTTTTCTAATCTAACACAGAGTTCATGTTTTATTCTGATCAGTGAGATTCTTCTCTGCAGGTGTATCTTTTTGCTGAAGCTCTGGCAGAAGGAGCTGTTAAAATGGGCATGCCAAGCGCTCTAGCCCACAGCATTGCCTCTCAGACTGTTCTGGTCAGTTTAACACTTTGCTCACTTCTGTTTTACAACAGTTCATTTCAGAGCTCTGACTCCTGAGTGTCCAAATACAATATTTGAAAGCTGCTATTTGCTGCAGGGTGCTGGGAGGTTGTTGCGTGATTCTGGGAAGCATCCAGCTCAACTTCGCTCGGAAGTCTGCACGCCAGGTGGAACAACTATATATGGGCTTCACACACTGGAACAAGGCGGTGTGAGGGCGTCAACCATGAGTGCTGTGGAGTCCGCCACCGAGAGAGCCAGGGAACTCGGCCGAAAGTCAACAGCAGGGAGCAGAAAGTGATGGACAAATTTGCCTTTAAGAACTACTCATTAGACTTTTAACTTGATAAATACCCAACATGGAAACATGGAACTCCTCTTTTTCTTTTTTTTCTCCTCTTCTCATCACACTCAAAAACACAAACAAGTTGTCCCTTTTTCAATCACATTTTCTCATCTTCTTTCAGTCTCTGTAAGCTAAAAGTCAACATTGGCTTAATCTTAAAATTGATTCTGACAGTTTAATATTAGACCATGATTTCTGTTTTTACATGCACTCAAATAACCTTGTCTTTTTGGATTTGGATGCAAGTAAGGTACAACCCAAATTTGATTGTACCAGTATTTGTTGATATATTCTAATAACAAAATGCTGAATAAATCCAACTTGTCACATTTACTAACAGTCACGTGAGACTTGAAGGCTGAAAGAGAGGCTAAGCGAGTAGAACAAAGCCGTTATGCAGACCATATTGTTCATCATTACTACAGAAGCCCCTGTTATGAACATCTTCATTGCTGTACTGCCTTACTGCTCTTGATTGGATTGTAATGTAGAGTCAGTGGATCATTTTAATCTTTTAAATTATTATTGTATTTAATATTTGTTTGGATAAAGCATACGTCTAAATTTTAGGATAAGAGTAATCACATTTGTGTGGCTCCAATACAATGATAGTGTCCCAAGTATAGCTACTGTATGGTTGTGTATAACATGGTGTATTGAAGAAAAAAAAAAAGGGTTCTAATTTAAAAATAAGTATCAATTTTCATAAAGTGTCATGTTAACAGGTCCTCAGTTCCTTATTTTTCTGTTAGTTTTGGAGTCTTGAAATCAGCTATTAGTTGACAGCTCAGACTTAATTTCTGACCTTCAAAACAAAAGATAACAAGCCACTGCAGCGATGAGTCAGTTAGCCTAATAAGAAACATTATTAGGCAGCCATATGGATAAATCATTTAAGATAAATTCGATAAATTCTTGTTTTAATTTGTTTTGGGAAATTATACACTGAATATTGTTAGATCTGAAGTCAGTGGTCAGCCAAGAATCTGACTGATAATGTATTACCCTTTGACTGCGGCCTGATCCACAAAGCATGTGCAGTTGGGAATTCCTCTGAAAAAGCTTGCATTTAGGGAGGAAAGGTCTGGTCTCTTTATAGACTGCAGCCCAGACCTGTGTACACATTTAAAAAAGTGTGTGTGTGTGTGTGTGTGTGTGTGGATGGATGGATGGATGGATGGATGGATGGACAAAGTCATGAGTTCACTGATAACAAAAGGCACCATAAAACTAATTGTAATCTTGAAAAATAAATTTCCAGACAAGTCCATTTAGTACCTTTTCTGGCCCCGAATAACATTACATAGTTCATCTGCCAGTGCGTCATATGAGTCAAAATTCAAGACTGTTCACTTGAACTGGCTGAACAATAGAAATAAAAAGTTCAGAGGTTTTGAAATCTAGATCGAAGAGAATGAAACATTGGTGTTTTTTTTTTTTTTTTGCCACTGATTTGTCTATAACAGCAGATGTAAATGATTTAGAGACTTGCAATAATAACTGAGTGAAGGTATCATAAACAGTAAAGCCTGTCATACTAAGACAGCGGTTGGAAATTATGAGGTGTAGCTTTAAACTGAGTTGTGACCTAATTTGGTGAGATGCAAATACTCCAGTGTCACATTTATTCCAATTTTAATATATCAAAACGACATGACATTCAACACAGAGCATGAGGCAACATTAATGATTCATACCTTCCCTCCCCCACCCGCTAAGATCACACAATCACCGCTGTTCCTTGCTTCCTCTCCTCTTCCTCCTTCCCGCTGTCATTCACGACCGGAGAAACACGTTTTATCCGCTGGCCCGGCCTCACACCGACAAGACCAAAAAAACCCACAATAGTAAGTAAGCTCAACGCCGACCGACAGCCAGGTTTCAGTGTGGTTGTTAGTGGTGGGAATCTTTAAAAGACATTTTGGGTAAACTGATGGATATTCAGTGGTTAACAGAGCAGGCGCTTGGCTGGGATTAGCCGTGGCTAGCAAGCTGCTAGCTGAATGAGCAGCGTGCTAGTGCTAAAACTGTCGGAGCGGCAGTCAAGCTTGCCGGATACCGGCTTCAGTGGCTGCTTGTGCTGGTTAGGTTTTTACGGCATTGTCAGTATTAAAAAGAAGCTCTTTGGGGCCACGTTTTAAAACAAGTAGACTTATTCCGGTGCAAATGAAATGGCTACTGCAGAATTCATTCTAGCTAGGACCGAATTCAAGAAGATGAAAGCTGGCTAAGGTTAGCAGGGCGCGCACCTTTGGAAGTTGACAGCGCTCCTGACGCTCTGTCTTTTGTTGTTTAGCATTTGGCATGACAGGGTTTTCTACATGACGTTACACATGTATCTTTAAGTGGAAGTGCTGCCTTGAATCCTGGAACATGGTCACTGATGAGCTTCTATACAGATCAGGGCAGGACAAGTGAATTCTTGTTCTAAATCGCGTATATATTCTTTGTCAGCCACCCTCTTTAAATGTTATCAAGGAGGGACTGATGATTTAAATTATTTGTGAATGAAATTGCACAAACTATATACATGCAGGGATACTCGACATCAAAGGAGAACATTCTGTATAATGCCACAGGGTGTCTGGGGTGATTTCATTTTTCTCCAAATTATAAAGTCACAGGGATATCAACTGAATGTTGTGAGCCAGCCAAAACAGACAATCAAACTGTCTTAAGTATTCGTCAGCCTGGTATATCTAAACCAACCATTGCATAGAATTCTTCTTTTTTCTTTTCCAAAAACTGCTTGAAGCCATGACATGTTCCAAAATTGCCATGTAGTTTATTTTGAGCTGATCCAGCACCCAGTGCACCACCCTGCTGCCAGAAATACTCACTAGAGCTGCAGCTCGAAATAGCTCCCAACAAATTAAGTATTAACTTTTGTTAATAAAACTATGCTAAATTAAAAACGGCAGTTTCCTACTGTATGAAATATTTTTGGGGTGCCTTCAGAAGAGTATGTTTAGTTTTGTGTGTGTGTGTATATATATATATATACCAACAGTGCTATCCTCTTAACTTCACTGACAGGCAACCATACTGGCTGCTAGTGGAGCTCCTCAATACAGGATACACTCTCCCTGAAAATGCACAGACATTGAAACTGAAAATGAACCTCCCCTCCTACCGCAGCTGAGCCTAGTCAGCAGTTCTTTAAGAAAATGGATAAAATCTGTTTTCCACATCGTATCTAATTTGTTTGATCTGGTAATTAGATTGATTATTGAAAGGTGTGATGTGCTTTAACAGCAAATGTCTACTTTTGATGATGTAAAGGAAAATAAACTGTGCTCCCAACTGAAAGGGGGGTTGGGTCCAAGTTTTGCTTCATGTTCTAGGATTATATGGGATTTCAGTGAAAGCATTTTTCCCATTCAGCATCATCCAAGGCTAAAAGTGGAGCCATTTAAAGACTGCGGAAAGGTTGACTTTCATGTTGAATATCTGATCTAGATAAAAAATTTTAATGTATAGCTTGTCTTCTCCCATCTTGCCTTCAGAATTTCACATGTGAGTATTCCTTGTAACGCTGTCACATACCTTGCATTGAGCACAGACAGTACAAAAGATGGATGTAGCTTCCTAAACCGGTATTCAGTCTGAAAGCCTAAAGATGGCTATAAGTATGCGTTAAATGAGTGTTCCTGTCCTTTAGTCTATGAGGAAAAAAGCCTTTCTGTTTTGACCTCTGTAAACACTTTGCTACTGAGTTCTTTGTCTTAGTTACTCCTTTAAGATCATATTCAATAAAATCTTAAACCTACCACATGTCAAATAGGAGGCTTATCAGTGGTATTTTCTGCTTGTTCATTGGCTAACGGCTTGTCAATCACAAGTCGGGAGCCAGTGACCAAGCAGTTTCACATTCAGACATACCCTTTCAAGTCACATCCAGTTTCTTGCAACCAAAATGGAAATGGTAGAAACATTTGGCTTCAAAACAGGAGTGCAGAAAACAATGGGTCACATCATGGTAGTTATGTCCGTCTTTTGTACTGTTTCCCCCCTCCTTAAATGTTGTATCCCTTGTATTGTCTGATTCATTTTGCAAGGTGGTGATTGATAAATTTCTTTTCAATGGCTTGCGGTTAACTGGATGAAAAGAACGTGTTGAGCATTTGACTTTGATACTAGGTTGAGCTCAACACCTTTACTGAAGAAGGTGAGTTAACAGATTGACTAAGATCTCCTCATAAACATCAAGCAGGAAATGACTTCCCAAACCAGTACCCAAAGTTGTTATAGCTTTGTATTAGTTTGGATCATTTTAACTAAGCTCTGTATGAACAATAGGGAATGCATTTGCTGTATGGTAGTATATTACTAAAACTTAAAGATGCATGATTTAGTGCATGTCTGAATTGTAATACCTACTGTATTATTGTTTTAATTTTATTTATTTATTATGCATGCGCATGCATTGCATTGGTCCATTAATGTTTTTCTTTTACTCAATGACCCCTTTTCTTCCTGTGATTGCTATCGTGTCATTGTGTATGTTCAGTGTTGCAAAGCTGTTTAAGGTTTGTAAAGTATATAATGGAAGCTGTAAACAAAGGAGTGCATTATAAGGTCAGTTTAATGTGTGCTAATAATATAAAAGCTATGGCATTTGCTGGATATCTTACTAGCTCTGATAGTACAGTGTCTGCTGTGAAAGACATGATTGATAAATCCGATTCTAGACAACTCATAAACAATTAGATTCGATTGATCTGGGTTAGAACTGGGTGATATGTTAAAATTATTCAGTTTCTCAACATCAGTCAGACAAGCATGCATTGCCTGTGTATTAATGGGGTAAGGCACCTCTGTATGAACAGTATCTCATATCTTCTTGTGTATAATCTACTAATTCTATGAATTAATAGTTTATAATCATAACCACATGGAAAGGATTGGGGTTTTTTAATAGGAATTTTCACAATTATTTAAAGTCTTTGTGGATTAACTCGCTTTATTGGGGCAAAGCTTAATTTAGACTTCTGGATTGAGCATATGTAGAAGCTACAATGTATCTTGTCAGAAGTGAAGCTTATCCATTGTGATTGACAAGCCAGTAAGCATTCTGTTTCACAGTCTGAAAATATGGTGAAAAACTTAGCTCGAGACTCCATAACAGGACTTCACTAAACCAACAGGTGATGCCATAGCAACCAAGAGCATCTTTTATTGAGGTTTGGCCACTATGAGCGCTAACGTCTGAGTCGCACAAGCCTACAGACCAGTCAGTCCTGGCAACCGCCAGATGCTAAGGAAAAATGTGTATTCCATAGCCAGTTGGCTAAAACCTTCTTGTAATTGCTTTGATCGTTAGCATTTTGAAA